CCTCTTATATATATGTGTTTAGTTGTATTTTCTTAACTTCTCGGCATTCTTTAGGTCTTGCTCTGTTTTTTTTTCCTATTTAAATGTTCAGCTTTAATGCTTATGTCGATATAAATTGATTTTGTAATTTTGGTTTTCATTCTTTGTTAATTTAATTAATCGTTTCTTTCAGCTATACACATTATGATCATGCTTTTTGTTCTTTCCTATTTATTGTAATCATTAACATATTTTTTTGTTGTTCTATTTTCTTAGACTTCATCCCCCAAAATTCTTTAAGATCTTACATAAAATAAGAAACATATTTTTTTTTTCCTACAAGTCACTGATTCCAGCTTTTGCAATCATACCTTTAAATGTATCCAACAGGTAAGTGCAAATAAATCATTAAAATCTCCTTTTCATTTTACATGGTTTTTTCCCTTTTTTATTTAACTAATTTTTCTTTCCTTTGCTTTTTTTTTTAAAAAAAAACAATCGCAATTTAATCAGTTTTAGTTTATTTTTTAAAAAATAAATCATTTTAGCCGATTAACTCTTTTAATTACATTTTCCTTTTACATGTTTTCCCTCCTTTTTTATACAAATATCCTTTTTTCTTGTCTTTTTTCAACACTCTAAATAGTAAACTTCATAGGATTTTGAGACTTCGCAAATTTATAACAGTAATTATTATTTCTGTTTTTTGTTTGTTCATTAAGGAGAAAATGATAATTTTTCTATCCTTTTAGGTTACTCTTGTTTAATATTGAATAAAAACTCTGCTTTTCTATTTAAAAACAAATTTTAAGTTATTTTTTGCAATCCCTCTATATAACTTTCTAACAATAATAATAATAATTATGATTGTAATCTTGTAATATCTTGGTTATGATATCTTGTGGAATGATGAACTTGGGTTTGGCTTATTATATTGGTTATAGGCTGATAAAGTCATTGTCAATTGTGTTCATCATGATGAATACCGATACTGGCTTTAAATTTTACGTATATTTTTCACCAATCAAATTAAATTGATTTGAATTGGTCAGTCTTTGTTACTTGCGTGACATACCTTTGATGCAAAAATATTCGACAATAAAATATCCAAGTTGATATATATTAATCATTACAAAAACTAAATAATAGTAAATATTAGGACATTAAGTTTTTTTTTATAAAAAAAAAGAAACCAGAACAGAGGCACATCTATTCATATACGTGACTTCCATAATTTTGAATTTTAAATATTTATCAAAATTTATAAATATCTGGAAAAAAAAAATTAAAACAAAAATGACAAAAATTTTAAAAATTCCAAATGATTTTTTTAAAAAAAAAATTATAGATGCTATCACTAAAAAAAGGGTGATTCTCATTAATGACCTAAAAACTAAATCTTCTAAAAAGGAGCCCTCTTTTTTTCACGTGGACAAATATAACATTCATTAAACATGATTACTTCTAATTCTATTTCTTCCTCCATAAAAATCAAAAATCTCACAAAAACTCTCAATGATCGCCTCACGACTTCCACTGTTGTCAGAATTTCATCTGGAATTTGATGAAATTGTCATCGGAGTTAGCAAATCTTCACTCTGGAAATCGAGCAAATCCCAACTTGGTCTCCTTTAAATAATTTTCCAACTTCTTCGAAACCTTAATCGAAATCTCAATTTTTAAGGAAAAAAAATTGGGGTTTAGGAAAAAAATTGGGGGTTTTGAAAACTTTTGTGCTCAAGCTATAGGTTTTCGGCAAAAATCCATTGAATCTTAAATCATTTTGGAACCATTTCCAAACTGCAGATCGTCAGAAATTTGAAACCCAGGTCTGAGTTTTCAGTTCGGGAAGGCTTCCCTAATATTCAAGAATGATTCATAATGGTTTAGGAATGTTTTCCTGAATTATTAAACCTTTAGGAATACCTTTGAAATGTTTATGTATTTTGTTTAATATACCTATAAGTCTCAATAATTTGTTTTAATCTTGAGAAAAGTTTCTAGAATAACCTGTTTTTTTTTCTTGAAATGGGTAGAATAATGATGTGCTCAGGTTTTAACTCTAGTTTTCTGCAAGCGCACAGATGTATGTTGTAGTACTTAGGGGTCGATCCACTGAAGACCAAGTAACTGCAATACGAGTTTACTTGAGATGAGAACTGAGCTAAAATGAAAATATGTGTTTGTTTGGGGGTTGTGAATAGTGAAGAAAATAGCAAATAATAAAATTAAAACCAAGTAAACAATAAGATCAAATCAATAGGAGAAGGTGTTGGGCGTTAGGGAATTTGCCAGGAATCATAGACTAGCTAACAAGAGAATTAAACATAGAGTTTTCTATAGATATGTTCCTGAAATCAAACCAATACTAATCTACTCATGCAGTATTAATCACAAATCCATTCACCCAGATTTACTAAACACCCATTCAGTTCTCTAAGTGGCTAGACAAATTAGTTTGATAATTTCACAAAACGCTTTAGATCGATTCACTCTGTCTAAGAGAATTTGTTCATCTAAATATGGTTAATCGATTCAACAACACTTTCAATGAGTAAACCAACATAATCGCAGTAGCTAGATGATCGATATAAGCCACATAAACGAAACCCATAAACGAAATACAAATTTGGATGAAGAAGCCTAAAGATAAACCCTAATCTAACAAACCAGAAATCAATCCATGAATTTCCTTTGAAAAATTCCTTAAAACCCAACAATGGAATTACTCAATCATAGTGTATAAGAACATCACATAAGTATTGTAGTTTGCTGGAAATTAAATAAGAGAAAGGTAAAGAGCGAAGAACAAGGATGAAGATAGAGATCGATGATGGCTCCTTCGGCAACTCCTTCTTCTCTCGAAGACGGCAACTCTAAGGCGTGCGGCTCTCTTCTGCTCTCTCTCCACGACTTGGTCATTAGAATGACTTAAAACGAGTATATATAGCCTTCTAATTCGTTGGAAACGTCTAGGGTTTGAAGAATAAGTAGTGGGCTGAAATTGGGCTTGAATTAGGACATTTTCGGACGTCAATGATGTCTGGTCGCGGTCGCGGTGGTCCTGACCGCGGAAAAAACTTGTCTGGCCGCGGTTGTTTGAGACTGCATTTTCTGTCTTTAGTGCATCGGGAATATCTAAAGATCTAACCGTTGGATTGTCTCTAAAAAAATTGAATTAGAAAGCTGATTGTCTCCTCTATGATGTCTCAAATTTTGGGGATGATCGGACGGTGAAAAAGTCTTCATCGAGTGCCATACTTCTGACAGTCTGTATTTATCCAAAATTGCTCATTTGTTCCAAATTGCATATCTTTAGTCCAAATTTCCTGAAAAGTCTTTTAAAACTCTAAAACATAGAAATCACTTAAAAACCATTGAAAACAGAGTTAAAAACCTGCATAAGATATTAAAACAATCCATAAAAATGGTCAAAATCCAGTGTTATCAATTCCCCCAGACTTAAACATTTGTTTGTCCTCAAACAAAACATAGATCAAGTCAGGAAAGAATCTTTAAAAATCCTTAGGAACTAAACAATATCTCAGTGACCGTCCTTCTAAACCATAAGCTATCGTAAAACATCTATCTGGATCTAGTCTAGAAAATTCTCACCAAAATACAAACATAACTAATCCGTTAATCCGTCATGTGAATACTACACACTTAGATCTAACTTCCAGTAAACTAGCTCTTTACATTCATTAAGTGCATAGTGAATTCTTATTAAAGACATCTTTCAGGGTAGACGGCGTTTGGTAATTCAGGGCTATTTAAGTGGTGGAGTTAAAGTGTTTCAGGTTACCTGAAGATCTGGAGGATGCAAGATATTATGCAAAACCGCAAGAGAGAGTGGACATGTTGATGTCCGCAATTTTCAGTCCTCCTTGCCAAATGTTGCTGCATAAGCTTTCCTCCTTGGTTGTAAACAGCTACTTCCCCCAGACTTAGATATTTTTCGGGAATCAGAAAGATAATCTCCCTAAACTCCAAATAATCGAACCAAGGCTCGTCTCAAGGATAATATTCGATCCTCCTAGACTCTATAAGGTTTTTATTTCCTTTTCTTCATATTTTTTTTTCTTTTTCTTTTTTTTGGATTTTTTTTTTGGAAGGGGAAACAACCTTTAATTACGAGAGAGAGTCTAAAGGACGAAATGTCAATGTTTTTTAGTTTTATGAGGCAAACCAAGAGTTCTCCTTTTGTTGAATCATTCCGGTGAAATCGCAGGTCTCCGTCTTCAGTGACTGAAAACTGCGTCGATCCTCTTTCTCTCCGACATTTTTGCACATATCTGCATATAGTGAAATGAAAAATGAGAATGCATGTGGTTTGAAAGAGGTTAGGTTAGGTGGGAAACTAGCTAAATATGAGAAAGGAGTCATGGATGTATGATTTTTTTCCCTGATCTAATGCTTCAATGAGAAATTTAAGTCAATTCCAAATAAGATGAGCTAGTATATCCTATTCAGAATGAATCTTCATGAATAGAAGTCCTCTGGTGGGAGTTCGTAGTGTAAGTACTCTAGCTAGCACCTAGTCTATCTTTAAATCGCAAAAGAGTTATAACAAGGAGATAGCGTAGAAGCACACTAGTCTAAAATCATCATAGTATTATTTCCTATGTCCCTGGTTTGAAAAATTTTGAATAAAATTTGAAAACTTTTTGAAAATTTTTTTTTATGTCCAAAACAAACTAAAAAAAAATCAAATTTCGTTAGTAACGGATGAACATTTTGAAGTGTTTAGATGTACTTACCTTGCCAGAAGAATGAGTCGCGGTTGGAATGATGGCAGCGCAGGTCGAAGTTTCAACAGGGCCGGAGTGATTGCCGTTTTCTGGTTTATGATTTCTGCTCGTCTTTTATTCGTTCTTCTTTGTAAAAACCTGAAATTAAAGGAAACAATAACAAAGCAACAAAATAGAAAATAAAGGTCAAAGGGAAATAATTAAAATACCGAGTGGGTTGCCTCCCATTAAGCGCTTGGTTTAAGTCGTTAGCTTTGACTTGGTCGTCTTTTAGGCATTCGGCGCATCTGCTAAGGAGATCGGATCTTCCTTTTCTTCTTGAATGTCTGCAAGATATGACTTAAGACGTTGTCCATTGACAGTGAAATCGCCTCCTTGACGGTTCCATAGAACCACAACACCATATGGTAAAACGTCTTTGATTTTGAAAGGCCCAGACCATCGCCATCTAAACTTCCCAGGAAACAGTTTTAACCGTGAGTTATAAAGTAGAACCTGGTCATTAAATGAGAAAGTCTTAAAAACTATTTTACTGACATGAAACGCCTTAGTTTTCTCTTTGTAGATCTTAGAGTTCTCATAGGCATTATTGCGAATCTCGTCTAACTCTTTCAACTGAATCAAACGTTTTGCACCTGCCGTCTGGATGTCGTAATTCATCTTTCTTATTGCCCATTCTACCCTGAGCTCTAACTCCCATGGAAGATGACAAGCCTTACCATAAACAAGATAAAAAGGTGTAGTGCCCAATGGAATTTTGACCGCAGTTCTATATGCCCATACAGCATCATCAAGCTTTCCTGACCAATCTTTTCTTGTTGGTCCTATTGTCTTTTCCAAAATTCTTTTGAGTTCTCTGTTTGATACCTCCACTTGGCCACTCGTCTGTAGGTGATAAGGTGTAACTACCTTATGTTTCACTCCGTTTTTCTTCAACAGATTCTCAATGACTTTGTTGATGAAGTGAGAACCACCACACTTATCACGATTCGCGGAACATGAAATCTTGGAAATATGATCGACTTGAACATCTTCATTACTACTTTTGTGTCTTTTGTGGGGCTGTCTATGCAGAGCCGTGCATCATGTCTTGTGAGTTAGGCATTAGCCTAAGGCCACCAAAAATTGAAAAAAGTTTAAGGCCACAATTTTATTAATTAGTGCATGTATATAGTTAATGAGGTAAATATTGTTGGGTTATTCCTTTGAGATAAGCCAATATACTAATATTATTGATATTTATTTTTATGGATATTCAAACATAAAAAAGGAAAACTAAAAAAGGAAATTTAACTAAAAACTTAAAATAAGTATAAATTAAAAAGTCTCACATCCATATCTAAATGAGGAGGCCTATAATTTTTCTTCAATATAAGTAGCAATATCAATTAAAATCTTTTTAAGCTTAAAAACCAATGTTCACCAAAGTTTTGGTTTGACTGGATCAATCGGTTTGAAACATTTTAATTAGTATTTCTAGATTTATCTGGTTTTTAAAAGTATACACGCGTAGCGTGGACGCAAAATCTAGTATCAATTAAAATCTTTTTAAGCTTAAAAACCAATGTTCAAACAAAGTTTGGGTTTGACTGGATCAATCGGTTTGAAAATTTTTAATTAGTATTTCCATATTTATCTGGTTTTAAAAGTTCGACCGGATTGTCAGCCGATTCCCGGTTATACGTTACATAGCCGTCTGATTTGTGGTTAAATAACTCGATTATGTGAGTTTGGTAAATAAATTTTTAGAAAAGAAAAGAAGAAAAATTATGTTTTATAATTTTTATAGTTTCGGTTATTATTATTTTTTTGTATGTTTAAGATGATATTTTTATACTAATCTTTTGTAAGGGTCATATTTTTTTAGTTCGCCTAAAGCCACCGCAGATCTAAGCATGGCACTGTGTCTATGGCCTCTACCCACATAGACACGTAGTCAACAGCAAAAAGGGTGTACTTGTTTCCAAAAGACGAAGGAAAAGGACCCATAAAATCGATTCCCCAAACATCAAAAAAATTCAACTTCTTGAATGAAGTTTTGTGGCATCTCATGTTGCTTGCTGATGTTCTCTTGTCTTTGGCAAGCATCACACTTAGATATGAACTTATGGGCATCCTTGAACATGGTAGGTCACCAATACCCAGCTTATAAAACCTTTGCTACAGTCTTATCAGTAGCAAAGTGTCCAGCATAGTTAGATCTGTGACAATGAAAATGATTTTTGGAACTTCTTCTTCGGAGATGCACCTTCGAAACAAGTTATCTGAACACTGCTTATAAAGATATGGTTCATCCCAAAAATATCTTCTAACATCACACAAAAACTTCTTTTTGTTGTAGCCAAAGAATTGTGGCGGTTCGACCTCTGCTGCTAGGTAATTCGTGATATGCATAAACCAAGGAAGCTCAGAAGGTTTTGCTTTTGGAGGTGGGGTTGGACGTTCTCTGGTGTGACTACTTTAGCATTACCATCTTTCTCCACGTCTCCAATAAGGTTTAGAGAAGTCAATCTCGAGCTTGCATCAGGTGAGATAGTCTTGCCCTTAGATTTCTTTGATTTGCGTTTAGATTTTCTCGCTTTGTGCTTCGATTTTCTCGATTCGACAACTCCTTTAGGCTCGACTGAATGGGCTTGTATAGAAACGTGTTGGCACCTTTCCTTGTTATCTCCAGGGTCTAAAATCAACTTCTCTTTCTTGTAGATGGTTATACAGTAAGAGCTTCCAGCACTACAGACTGCTGGATAGAAAATTCTCTTTTTGACTTTAGAAAAACAAACTCTGCGGTTGGGATAATCAACAACTGTCCGCACTGTTGCAGTGAATGAACTTCCAAATATTAATGTCCTGGGAGAGTTATTTTCCATCTCAAGAATGTGAAAATCAACAGGAACAAGACACTCTCCTGCTTGCTCCATCAAATCCGTTACGAAACCATATGGAATCGTGCTTGAATTGTCTCCAAACATAACAGAACCGTGAGGAGGTTTGATATCACACATCCCCAGCTCGTTTGCAATTGCTTTAGACATCACATTCAAATTTTCTCCTGTGTCACATAGAGAGTCAGAAAATTCCACACCTTCAATTATGTAGGGGAAGACAAACTTCACCGAATCATTTATCTTATGAAGCTTCCTTTGGTGTGGAACTTTGCCTATTGCATCATACTCCTCAGGAAATGCTGGAGATTTAACTTCAGTATCTTGATTTTTAGGAATAGGCGTGACTTCTCTCTCACCATCAGTGTCTATGACATTGCAACGCCACATTGGATTGTCTACGGTTTTTCCCGGAAATGACCATCTTGTCTCTTCACACTTTCTTCAATTTGTCTGATTTGTTTTCCGAGCATCTTGACATGAGGTTAGAGGTTAGTGAACTTCTGGAATGACTCCTCATTATTCTTGTTGAGGTAATCATACATGATGTCTAACTTGTACCCAAGATCATTCATGTTGCCTAACTTAAGCTTAAGGTTGCGGGTGTCTTGGGCAATTTTTTCATGTACCTCAGCGATTCGTCTCTCAATAAATTCAATGCTTTTTGAACTATCTATGGTTTGTGATAGCTGCACGTCCATGCTACCAACCTGAGTGGAAAGAGCTTCAAATTTACCATTAAGATTATTCCACAGTCTTTGTCAAGAAATTTCCATCGCTTGCTACATTTAGAGGTGCCTTATATGTCCATTCAAGACCTTCGTAGAAGGTGTTCAAGATGCATGTCTCTGTAAAACCGTGGTGAAGACGTTTTCTGATGTAACCTTTAAAAGATCCCAAATTTCATGAAAAGGTTCGCCTCCTTTTTGTTGGAACCTATAAATCTTTTCTCTCAAGAACTTTGATCTAGAGGAGGTGTAGAAATGGTTAAGGAAGGCAGCCTTGCATTCGTCCCATGATCTGAGTGAACCAGGAGACAAAGACTTAAACCATGCATGTTCAGTGGCAGACCTAAAAAGTTTATTAACCGGTGTCAAAGGAATTTGAACCTGAGTTTAAGGGGTTCAATAAGCCATATTTTCCTGCTGTGCTACAAAATTTTCATCATATTCATATTCAAAATAATTTATTTAAATATTTAAGGGGTATCATTTGACCACCCATTTCTCTTACTGGGTCCGCCTCTATGCACGTGCCTTATCACAGAGAAAAATGAAAACAACTTGCACTTTATGTAATCTGCAGGTATTCCGATCGATTGCATGGTGCTGCAGATTTCTTCAAAATCTTCGAGATTGTCCATGGGGTTCTCCGATGCATCACCACGGAACTGGTTCTGCTTGACCAATTTTATGAGCTTAGGGCTACTATCATAGTCTACATTGATGGGTTATAGACTAATGGGAGAACGGTTCTCATAGAAAGCATACGGACTGTTATAATCTTTTAGGGTTTAACGAGGAGCGTCTTGGAATCGATCGTCCTTATCAAAGTTTTGTTGGACGTTGAGGTTACCTCTAAGCCTATCTAAACCTTGCAAGTGTCTATTGTTCTTGCCCATCTCAGTATTATTTATATGTATATATAATTTTTTGTTTTCGTTTTTTTTTTCAAAAATGAACAAGAGAAGATACCTTAGACTCGATTCTGATCTGAAACTCGTAGGCAACGTTAAAGGTCCCCGGCAACGACACCAAAACTTGATGTTCTCAGGTTTTAACCCTAGTTTTCTGCAAGCGCACAGATGTACGTTGTAGTACTTGGGGTTCGATCCACTAAAGACCAAGTAACTGCAATACGAGTTTACTTGAGATGAGAATTGAGCTAAGATGAAAATATGGGTGTTTGTTTGGGGGTTGTGAATAGTGAAGAAAATAGCAAATAATAAAATTAAAAACAAGTAAACAATAAGATCAAATCAATACGAGAAGGTGTTTGGCGTTAGGGAATTCGCCGAAAATCATAGACTAGCTAACAAGAGAATTAAACATCAAGTTTTTTATAGATATGTTCCTGAAATCAAACCAAGACTAACCTACTCACGCAGTATTAATCACAAATTCATTCACCCAGATTTACTAAACTTCCATTCAGTTCTCTAAGTGGCTAGACAAATTAGTTTGATAATTTCACAAAACGCTTTAGATCGACTCACGCCGTCTAAGAGAATTTGTTGATCTAAATATGGTTAATCGATTCGACAACACTTTCACTGAGTAAATCAACCTAATCGCAGTAGCTAGATGATCAATCCAAGCCACATAAACGAAACACATAAACGAAACACAAATTTGGACGAAGAAATCTAAAGATAAACCCTAATCTAAAAAACCTTTAATCAATCCATGAATTCCCTTTGAAAAATCCCTTAAAACCCAACAATGGAATTACTCAATCATAGTGTATAAGAACATCTCATAAGTATTGTAGTTTGCTGGAAATTAAATAAGAGAAAGGTAAAGAACGAAGAACAAGGATGAAGATAGAGATCGATGATGGCTCCTTCGGCAACTCCTTCTTCTCTCGAAGACGGCAACTCCGAGGCATGCGGCTCGCTTCTGCTCTCTCTCCACAACTTGGTCATTTGAATGACTTAAAATGAGTATATATAGCCTTCTAATTCGTTGCAAACGTCTAGGGTTTGAAGAATAAGTAGGGGCTTAACTTGGGCTTAAATTAGGTCATTTTTCGAACGTCAATGATGTCTGGCCGCGGTCGCGGTGGTCTTGACCGCGGGGAAGCCTTGTCTGGTCGCGGTCGTAGCTTATGCTCTCCTTCGAGACTGCATTTTCTGTCTTTAGTGCATCGGGAATATGTAAAGATCTAACCGTTGGATTCTCTCCAAACCAATTGCATTAGAAATCTGGTTGTCTCATCTATGATGTCTCAAATTTTGGGGATGATCAGACGGTGTGAAGGTCTTCATCGAGTATCATACTTCTGACAGCCTGTATTTATCCAAAATTGTTCATTTGTTCCAAATTGCACATCTTTAGTCCAAGTTTTCTGAAAAGTCTTTTAAAACTCTAAAAAAAAAAGATATCACTTAAAAATCATTGAAAACATATTTAAAACAGCTGCATAAGATATTAAAACAAAGTCAAAATCCGGTGTTATCAAATAATCCATGATATATTTTATTATCCACATAACCTACTAATCATTTTAAAATAATTATAAGTCCTAAATTACCCTTATCGTTATCATTAATTAATTTTAATTTTCAAATTTGTTTTATAAATTATTTAAAGAAAATATTATAATATTTTTTCAGTAAAGGAAATTTGGTATATCTCTAATTTAAACGCTAAATTAAATATATTATTTGACACACCAACATCTGAAAATGTGTTGTAGTGCAGTGGTTAATACTCTAATCATGCGGCTACTGATACAGGGTTCAAGTCCTAAGGCAGCATTTTGGAGGAATGAAAAAAATAAAAATAGAGAAGTATAATAGATATGGGCTCAGGACTCTCTCCCGTGGACAGAGGCTTTGGTGTAGCTATTCCTAGGGGAGTAAACTTTCGGAAGGAAATATTCCTTGCCGCTAATTCGATCTATTTCGAAATTTTCCTTTTTTCTCCCAAAAAAATCTTCCGAAAATCACGAAACAAGAGATTTCCCAGTAAATCTTCAAAGAATTCTAGTGTTTATTTAGGGTTCTTACGGCCGTCTCAGTTACCCTACAAGCACAAAGCAATCAAACGAAGGAGAACTCAACAAAAAAAGCTTCTTTTTCTTCTTCTGATGGATGGCTTGCTAAACAACGCGTTAAAATCGATGTCTCTTGACGAAGATACTCCGATAGATCTGCCAGATGAGGACGACTATAGCGCTGTGGAAAGAAGTGGTAAGAGTTTGATTGGACGTCTTTTAAACCCTGATTGTCAGAATATGGCTCGAATGCTTCGAATGATGCCGAGAATATGGAAGGTCTATGAAAGAGTGAAAGGAATCGCTTTAACAAGGGAAAGTTTTCAATTCATCTTCGACTTGGAGACGGATATCAAGACAGTAATGAAGCAGGGTATATGGGATTTCGATGATTGGGGAGTGGTTATGGACAGATGGGTGGAAACCCCTCCTGCAAATTTTCTCAAGACGGCACCAGTTTGGATTCGTATTCATAAAATACCAGTTAACTATTTCACTCTCAAAACCATTGAGAGAATAGCGGACCGAATTGGTAAAGTTGTAACAATTGAATATGACCCGGAGAAATCAGTGTTACAAGCTTTCGTAAGAGTTTTAGTCATCCTGGATCTGGAACAACCTGTTCGAGAGACGAAAACGGTTAATCTTCCCAGAGGAGGTGTGGAAACGGTAGAGATAAAATATGAACGTCTGGTGAAGAAGTGTTTCAACTGTTTTCGTTTAACTCACGAGAAAGCAAAATGCCCTTTGCTGCTCAACCAGAAGAATCGTGGTGTATCGGAGACTTTGAAGAGGTCTGAAATTACTCAAAATGGAAACCTGCAGAGACAACATCACAACAACCTCGCTGATCAGATCATGCCTTATCTGATTCCATCAGCCCCCCCAGGGTTCGCACCAAGACCAAATGTAGTAGCTCCAGAAGTCTTTGATCAAATGCGTATCTACATGAACAGTGGTGATCCGAATGACAGATATATCAGGGAAATGAGAATGAAGCAGACTCTCGATGATCTGTCAAAGGATCCGGTGGCACAACGATCTTACCTTAGACTTGAAGCTCCGCCCAAGGTTGTCGGTATCTCAGAATCAAATGCTGAAACAATCATGTCCCACGATACCAACAAAATGGGTCCAATGCGGTTTCAAGGAACATCATTAGCGGAGAGTGGAGGTCAACCAAACTCCCAAAGAGCACATGATACCGTAAATCCAAATCCAGTGAACACGATGGTTCCTGGCGATCAGGTGACAAAGGGGAGAACATGCGTGGAAGAAATGGTCAATACGGGTATAAAGCAGAAAGACCCACCTGGAAACGATAAAATGGATGGTGTTAACATGGAGGGCATTGTGAATTTCGTCCCACACTGTGATAATACTGGCCCTGATCCAGTCCCAAACTGTGAACTGGTCTTCAAAATTGGAACGAGCACGGAGAGTTCAACGGGTACAAACAGTCGAAACAAGGGATCTAAGCAGAGAAACGCAACGTGGGCAAGAAAACCGCGTGGAAGCAAAGCTCAGAATGGATCCTCACAAAATGAGACAGAGGTAGAAACAGAACACGGAGTGGAACACACGAGTAAACGCAAGGCAACTGCAAGAGAGGGAGTGTCCACGAAGATGTCCAAACAAGCTGAAGGTTTGATGGTTCACCAGAAACCATCCAATCCTCAATGACGACAATCAGTTGGAACTGTCAAGGGATGAGAAGCGACTTGACAGTTCGACGCCTTGAGGAGATGTGTCGTGAACATCTCCCGGATTTTCTGTTTCTCCTAGAGACTAAAAACTCTAGTGAACACGTTTTGAAAGTTACGAGATCGTTGGGTTATGGCCACAATTTCTTGGTGAATCCAGTGGGTCTCAGTGGTGGTTTGGCTTTATTTTGGAAGGATACTTATAAGGTGGATATCTTGCTGCATAATAAACGGCTTATCGACACAAAAGTCAAGATCGGAGCAGTGGAATTCTTCATAACTTTTGTGTACGGGGACCCAGAAAGAGATAAAAGACAACAAGTTTGGGATATGATAACCGATTTTGGTAGTGGGAGAGGTGATGCTTGGTTCCTCGTGGGGGATTTCAATGAGATTGTTAACAATTCGGAGAAAACAGGGGGACACAATAGACCTGAAACGAGTTTCTATCCGTTCAGATCTTTTATCCGAGATTGTCGTCTAAAAGAAACTCCAACATCAGGCAATATCTTCTCATGGGGTGGATGGAGGGCTATCATAAATGCTAATGGTGAAAAAGAAACAGTGTGGATTCAATGCAGGTTGGATCGAGCGTTTGGTAACGCAGAATGGTTTCGATTATTTCCACGCTCTCACACTGAGTACTTGAGGAAGTGGGGTTCTGATCATCGCCCGATTTTAACTCGCTTAACTGGTAACATCGAAACACGTAGAGGAAGATTCTGTTTCGACAAGAGATGGTGTCAAAAACCTGAGACAACAGAAGTAATAAGGAGAGGTTGGCAAAAGCATTCTGGGTTTCGGCGAGTCACAGATCGCATAGCTGATTGCAGAAAGGAGTTGTCGAAATGGAAGAGAACAATTCAAAGTAACACAAAAGTCCAGTTACAGCATCTCCAAAAATCTTTTGAGGAGGAGATCTCGAAACTCAGTCCGGACCGAACAAGACTGAATGAGCTTCGTACCGCTTTAGTTCGAGTAACTAGAGAGGAGGAGGAATACTGGAAATTGCGGAGCAAACAGGCATGGTTAAAAGCAGGAGACTCTAACTCAAGTTTTTTCCATGGGAGCGTCCGTAAACGCAGAATGAAGAACACAATTGTGGCGCTCTTAGATGAGGATGGACGGGACCAGTTTTCTGAGGATGCAAAAGGGAAGATTTCGGAGAGATACTTCACAACCCTGTTTAAATCCACTAAGCCCGGAAACTCTAGTGAATTATTACAGGGGATGGAGGCAAGAGTAACACCACTGATGAATGCAGAGTTGGTAAAAAGGGTATCTGATCGAGAAATCAGATTAGCGGTGAAGAGTATCAAAGGAGATAGCGCGGCAGGTGCAGATGGGATGACTGGGCATTTCTTCCAACAATTCTGGGGTATAGTGGGACCGCAGGTGACAGTGGAGGTGAAACAATTTTTTGAAACTGGGAGTTTTCACCACGAATGGAATTTTACGCAGATATGTCTTCTCCCTAAGGTTCCCAACCCTAACAAGATGACAGACCTTCGTCCGATAAGTCTGTGCTCAGCAACATATAAGATCATATCAAATATCTTATGTGCCAGGCTTAAACGATTTCTCCCAGATTTGATATCTCCAACTCAGGGAGCTTTTGTTGCAGGGCGATTGATCTCGGACAATCTCTTGATTGCGCATGAAATGATTCATGGTCTCCACACAAACCCAAACTGCAAAGAGGATTACATCTCCATTAAAACAGATATGTCGAAGGCTTACGACAGAGTGGAATGGCAATTCCTTCAAGAATTATTCGACAAATTGGGTTTCGATGCGCGGTGGACAGGCTGGATCATGGAATGCGTAAGATCGGTCTCATACTCAGTGCTCTTAAATGGTCAATCACACGGGTACATCAAACCAGAAAGGGGGTTACGGCAAGGCGATCCTTTGTCTCCTTTCTTATTCATCTTATGTGCGGAGGCACTTGTTCATGTGATGAATAGAGCTGAAAAGGAAGAGAATCTAAGTGGAATGAAGCTATATAGAAATTGCCCTTCAATCCAGCATTTGCTCTTCGCCGATGATAGCTTTTTTCTGTGTCGGGCAACTTTCAAGGAATGCTCAGAATTCCTAAAGTGCTTGAAGCTGTATGGAGACTTCTCTGGACAAGAAATTAATTTCCAGAAATCGGCAGTGACTTATGGCGCGGACATAGACCCTTTTCAACGGAGATGTATTGGGAACATGCTTGGTATCGAGAAAGAGGGAGGAGATGGTAAGTACCTGGGGCTACCGGAATGTTTTTCGGGTTCTAAACGAGCTTTGCTATCTTTCATTACTGATAAGCTTAACAAAAGGCTCAGTGGATGGTATGAAAAGACACTATCTTTGGGGGGAAAAGAGATTCTGTTGAAGTCTATTGCCATGGCTCTTCCTGTGTATGCAATGTCCTGCTTTAAACTCACAAAGCATCAGTGTCAGAAGATTACACAAGCAATGACAAATTTTTGGTGGAATTCCTGCGAGAAAAAGAACAAAATCCATTGGATATCCTGGAAGGAGATGTGTAAATCAAAGGCAAAATGAGGTCTTGGATTTCGTGATGTTGAAGACTTCAATCAGGCTTTGCTGGCCAAACAAGCGTGGAAAATTCTCAATGAGCCAACCACATTGTTATCAAGGCTGTATAAAGGACGATACTTTCCAAATAAGAGCTTTTTGGAGTTAGGGGAAGGGTACCGGCCATCATACGCATGGAGAAGTATCGACTTTGGAAAGGAGTTATTGAAAAGAGGTCTTATGAAATCTGTTGGGGATGGCTCAAACACTGCAGTATGGCTGGATAAATGGATTTTTGATCAACAGCCGCGTAGACCTATGAACAGACAAGCACAGATAGATCTGGAACTCAAGGTCTCATCCCTCATTTCCGAGGAAGGAACTTGGAGGCAAGACCGATTGATGGAATTATTCCCACCTGAAGATGTGGAGCGCATTCGGGCTTTACAAATCGGAAAGGTGGAAGACAAGTTCATTTGGGCTTTTACAGAGCAGGGGGCTTATACGGTCAAGAGTGGACAATGGTTTATCTCAAATCACCCCTTGGTGCCACAACCACATCAGACTCTGGTGGAACAAGTCCGTATTTCGCTCAAACAGCGAATATGGAAAATTCGCACTGAACCAAAAATCCGTTTCTTCCTGTGGCGAACCTTATCTGGAGCTTTAGCTGTGGCAGATAGACTGCAGACGCGAAGAATACAGGTGGACACGACCTGCAAACTCTGCAACCAGGCAACTGAGTCAATCAATCATGTCATGTTCCAATGTCAGGCGGCACAACAGATACTGAATGCCACACAAATCCCATTTCCGAGTCACGGCTTTGCAGACACTTTGGAGGAAAACATGGCCTACATCTTTGATTTGGTGGAGTCGGATGTATTGGAAGAAAACATTACTGTCCGAATACCGTGGATCATGTGGAACATATGGAAAAATAGGAACGCAGTCATATACGAAGGGAAACAGGAAACGATGGCGGTTTTAACTCAGAGAATCATAGATGACGTTCAGGCGTGGGTAGAGGCAAACAAACATTCTTTGGAACCTGAAAACAACTCTCTGAGGGTGCGGGTTCTGGAAGATCGCTGGATTCCTCCACTGTCGGACGTAATAAAGTGCAATGTGCATGTTAACTGGAGGAATGCCAGATTACACTGTGGAGGAGCATGGATGGCGAGAGACCATAGAGGTGAGGTGAAATATCATGCTAGAGAGGCCTTTACAAGCTCCCCCAATCAGATCACCGGAGAGCTAAGGGGTGTAATATGGGTATTGGAAAGTGCAACAAATCTTCATATGCTAAAAGTTCGTATAGCCATTGACTGTAAAGCTGCAATGGATGCTATATCCAAACCAGAGTCGTGGCCGAGGTATAGAGCTTTAACGGAAAAGATACATTTACTCCGCCGAGGGTTCGTGATATGCGATTTCGATTTAGAATCTCCAAAATCAAATCACATTGTTAGAGCAATAGCGAAGAGTGTCCTGCGAGATGGAAGATTTCAATCTTATTTGGCACTAGGGGGACCTTCATGGCTCCACGAACAGATACAACGGGACGTGGTGGCGCATTAGCTAGGAAGAGCCATTGGGATCAGGAGCACTTTGGTGATCTGCATCCCCTTATCTGATTTAAGCTGAGTTGTAGCACTGTAATTGTCCTTTTCTTAGGCTTTGGTGCTATGTTTGTTTTATCAGCTTTGTTTTAGAGGGTTTTAGGATTTCTAAAACTCCATTTTTCCTTTGATTAATGAAATTCAGACGATTAAAAAAAAAGACACACCAACATCTCTGTCCGTTTCATTCATCGTATTTTGGGTATCACCATTTCTCTATTATACTTCTTCTCCAACGAAATCCTGTTGTCCTCAAATTCGCCTAACTCTTCTTTGAAATTGAATATCGGATTTGCTTGGCCAGCTTGTCTCCGGAATTCGTCTGTCTTTGTCTCCAAATTCGTCTGGCTTGTTTCCAAATTCAAATCTCTGAAAATATTTAAGAGTTGCAGAGATTACATTGAAAGGCAGTTTGTTAGTTTGCAGAGATTATATTCGTCAGTTTGTTATTTTTACTTGTAGTTTTTGTGGTCAATTACATTGAGAAGTTTATTTTTTTTATTTAGATATTATACGCTGACTTTTATAGTACTTGGTCAACGATTCAATGTTTGTTTGATTAAAGTTTTTTTTATAAGTTTTTTTTCTTTTGGTAAGTTTTTGTCTGATTTAGATGAGTGTGGCTAAGCGTAGACATAAGAGTTTTTCTTTTGGTGATTAATTTTGTACAAGAAATTGATCCATCTTTTCTGAACCATTGCTCTTTTATGCCTTTTATTAGTGTTGCTTTGTTAATTATTTAGAATCTTTTGTTAATACTGGTTGGTGGCTTGATATTGAGTGCTAAATTTAGTAAATTCTGATTCTTGTTTATGCAGAATGTCGATTCAAACAAATGTGAATTTAAGATTTCCATTACGGTTGTATTCACGTGGTTGTGAGCCAAAACCTAAAAAAAAAGCATCAATTGCCATAGTAAAACCGAGTTTCTAGAATAAGTAGAAAATACTGTTGGAGAAGAAGTATGGACCTACATCCGTGATTCTTCGCTGGGTGTAATTACACAGTTTGTAGAAAATAAGTTCACTTGGTCATCTAAGATCGTCGAGTATCTTCTTGTGAATCAACTTGCATGCAAAAAAAAGCATGAGATGTGGTGCTTGTTTGGAAACACACCAGCTCGGTTCTCTTTGTCGGAGTTTGAAGACATAACGACTTTGAAATGTGCATAGAAGCAAAGGCACATAAAAAGTTGTGGAAGAAGTTGAAAGTAAGCAGGAAGAGCCCTTGCAAGAAAGAGTTGAAAGGAGCTTTAGAAGACGTTTCTTCTTGGTCAAGAGAAGACAAAATTTGTTTTACGTATCTGTGTATTTTAGCAACTTTCATAATAGGTGAGGATGATAAAAAGGAGCTTCCGTTTGAATTTGCTCGAATGGTTTTTGACTTGCCCGAATTTGAGAAATATCCTTGGGGCAGAGAGGCTTTCAAGCGGCTGATTGAATCAACGTGTAAATTTGGAAGCTAATTCATACACATTAGATGGATTTGTACAAACGCTTCAAGTATGGGCTTACAATACCATTCCCAGTCTCGGAGCAAAGATTGGTCGTCCGTCAAACATTGATGGTCCTCCTATTTTGAAATTTAAAGATTTAAAAGGATTAAACAAGGTATATGCACCATACAAAGGTATTCTTTGTGTATTAAGGATGCACAGGAGTTTCCAAAGATAGATGTGGTCGCTTCCCAATAACAGCAAGAGCATGTTCACATGGTATCTTATCGACGTCGTAAACGCCACAAGTACAACTCCTCTGTTACCTGTACGAGACGATTGAACCAAACTAGTAACACAATAACAACAGGTTATAAGATGGTAATAATAAGGTAATATTCAGAGAATATGAGTAGAAAAAAAAAAGAAATCATACCTGTTGTATATCAACAATACAAGCAAATGCACCGCCGGTGACATGGCTATGATGTGCATCTATATGATGCACCATAAGAGTACTGCCAATACTGCATTGATATTCCAGTTTAAGTTCGACTCTTAGAGTAAAGAATGTTTGCAGTGACATAGCTTGTTCCCGCCGTTTCATAAACCACTTCGAAAATAGCTTCCGAAGCTCTTTTAAAAAATAAGCAGTTGGATACTCACGGGCATCTTTAAGAACCTTATTGATAGACTCAGCAATGTTGCTTGTCGTTATGTCATATCTGTCTCTTTGAAAATTTGCGCAAGACCACAAACTAACACCAGCATTCTCCAAATATGTTGCAATATCAGGATTTTGCCTTCGAATCTCGTTAAATAGTGCAACAAACTCAGAAACCCTGTACATCCTTGCAGCTTTTTTTACCAACTTTAGTGTAGTACTCTCTTTAAACTTCATAATGAGGTTTTCATGGAGATGATAGGTACATATTCCTCTATGAGCTTGTGGGAACACCTTCCAAACAGCTTTTCTAATGGATCTATGTCTATCAGAAATAATCACTAGCTCTTGTTGGTCATCACAAATCATACGTAACTGGGTTAAAAACCACTCCCATGAAGCATTATTTTTAGAATCTACAATCCCAAAAGCTAAGGGGAATATCTCACCATTTCCATCCTGCGAAGCGGCGACAAGCAAAACACCCTCAAACTTTCCTTTCAAATGAGCCCCATCAACCACAACCACATTTCTTATAAACCGAAAACCATTGATACATGCACCAAATGCAATGAACAAGAACCTAAACCTGTCTTGCTCGTCGCATATAAGTCTGGTAATTGTACCTGGATTCGCTGCCTTAATCTTATGAAGAAACATAGGCAAATCCTCATACCCACTTTCCCATGTATCTTGTTCAAGCTCACGTGCATGCACTAATGCTTTGTACGACTTCCAATAATCAATAGCAATACCATACACCGCCTTCATGACATCCATAATGTGCATAGGAATAATTCCAACACCAATTTTTCCAAATTTTCTCAAATATAAGTCACCAATACACTTTGACGTAGCTTGTCGATGACGAGAACACCTCTCCGTGACTAAACATGTATGAATGTCTATGTAATTTCACAATTTAAACTCTGAGGATTTTTTGATTGCCGATGCACAAATCTTCCAAGAACAACCAGCGAATGAACAACGTTTTTGTCAACTTATATGTTGACTAATCAAAGTTCTGAAAAATTGTGATCTGCCGCAACTTATATTGTAACTCCGCCTTGGAAGTATATACTTGCCCTATCCTAATACATTCTAGGATCTGCAAAATATTTTGTGTGCCTTCTAAGCCACCAATCATATGCTCTCCAATATCCTCATGGAAAGACATATCTGAAGTAGAACCATATCTACCATCAATAGAAACACGAGTTTGTCCATCTTCATCAAGTTCATCTAAGGAAAAACTGTGTGTCTCATTTTCACCAAATTCTCTAGGCATACCACTATTGACCTCATTTTCTTCACGTCCATCCGGAGCACCATTATGTGCCTCATTTTCACCAATTTCATCAGGAGTACCATTTTTTTCATCAGTTTCACCACCTCTGTCAAGAGTACCACTTTTTTCTGGAGCCTCAACACCTCCATCAATAGTACCACTTTTTTCCTCATATACACTAGTTTCATCAAGAGTTCCTCAACTTTTATGAACTTCACCAATTTCCTGCGATATAATAAATATAGAAAAACAAATCAGAATAGCATAAAATATAGAACTATTTGGCAGACTTTAGATTACGATTTGGCAGACTCATATTTAGTCTGCCAACATATAAAATCCACAAGTTATCGGTAGATGACACTACCCAATCACGCAGACTTATGATTTTTCAGCAAAAAATTGGTAGACTTACATGAAGTCTAAATGTTTTTGGTAGACTTCAAAATCGAATTTTAACAGACATACTAGAAGCCTGCAAAACACTCAGCAGACATGTGTGAAGTCTATACATTTTTGGCAGACTACAAAAACCAATCAGACAAACTTACTTTGAATTTGGAGTGCTTGGTAGACTTTCATGAAATCTACATGTTTTTGCCAAACTTTAAACCGGCAGACTTGTAGTTAGTCTGCAATAAGTCGATAAACTTTCCTATCGCCTGCAAGTTCTTACCAGACTTAAAGATCCTATCTACCAGACTGCTCGCAAGTCTGCAGAGAGAACTTTTAAATCTATAAAAACTATGAGGACATTATGCAAGTCTGCCGACCCAAGATTTAAAGTCTGTTCAAATTACGTACACTTCACGTAAATCTGCCGATCATCAGCAAACTAAAAGTAAGTCTGCATGATGGGCTTTTAAAGTCTTCTGGAAACATGTAGACTTCATGAAGTTCTATCGCCTCCACATTTTTAGCAGATTTAAAGATCCTATCTACCAGACTACTCGCAAGCCTACAGAGAGAACTTTTAAATCTACCAAAACCATGAGGACATTATGCAAGTCTGTCGACCCAATATTTAAAGTCTGTTCAAATTACCTAGACTCCACGCAAGTCTGCTGATCATCAGCAAACCAAAAGTAAGTCTGCAGGATGGGCTTTCAAAGTCTTCTGAAAACATGTAGACTTCACGAATGTCTATCAAGTGTTGTCAAACTTGTAATCAGTCTGTCGGATCAGACTTTAAAGTCTACCCAAAATGCGTAGACTTCATGAAAGTCTATCAAATGTATGTAGACTAAACGTAAATCTACGGAACTAGCTATTGAAATCTACCAAAAACTTGTAGACTCTATAAAGTCTACCGAATTCCATGGACTAAATATAAGTCTGCGAAATTGGCTATTGGAGTCTGCCAAAAAACTTGTGGACTTTACGCAAGTCTACTGATTGTTTATAAACTTTACTTAAGTCTACTTATGAAATCTATCAAAAATAAGTAGATTCGAAGTCTGCTAAAACATGGCAGAGTTCACATGCTTTTCATTTTCTACATGAAACTGGTTTTAGTTACATGAATCTCCATGAACTTTGAATTCTGAAAACTCAGAAAATGATTTTGTTCCTTTTTGACCATGGTTTGTAAGACTTAAAGTGAGTACCTACACACAAAAAAATAGTATTAGAAACAAAATACACAATCTGAGAAACCTAAAAAATTATCAATCTTAATACAGAAATAAAAGAAAACATGAGTCAATTTATGATTTTTTTAAGAAAGTAATAAATTTGATTGTTAATACCTTTGTTGTTTAGTAGATTTTAGTTAAAAATAAAAGATGTCTCATGAGGAAGAAGATGGAACCGAGTACTTTTTCAAAAATGTAACAGAAACCATCGACACTGGTTTTAAAAAAATGATTTCCTTTTTTTTTAAATAGACGTTTTCCTTTAATAATTGTGTATTTATTTGTTTTTAATGTTAGTTTTATTTAAGTTGATTGAATTTCCTTTTTTAATTTATTTTCGTTTTTAATTAAATATAAAAGAAATCAGTAATATAGGAAAAAAAAGTCTTTAAAAAAAATATGGTAATTTTGAAAAGGCTATTTAGACTATTTTTCATATTTTTAAGGTTATTGTAACAAATGTCCTTTTAATCTTTGTACCATCGACTTTTTTGACATTTTTAATTATACATATTTATATGTACAAACATGGACAAGTCTTTTCATGAGAAGTTTGTTAAGATGATTTTAGTAAGCTTTTTTTCCTAAAAATTAAGAAACCTTATTAAATTTTCAATTCAATAAAGCTTTCCTAATTTTCAGGAATAAATTCGTAATAGTTAAAGAAGGTCTTCCTGAATAAGAAACCCTCAATGATCACGTTTTAAATATCTCTTGAAGATTTCGAATGTATTATATGTTTATGTATTTGTTGTTTAACAAACAGTTTCTCTTGATTTGATCGGGTCTAATTTTGTGATGAATAAAGATGATTGAATATCATTAAGAAGCAAGTAGGTTTTCAATGTTTTGGAATAGTATGCTGATTCGGACCAAAAAGAAGTTGTTTACATTTTAATTTCAGACCTAACTACATATTGTTAAACTTTTGGAATCCATGTCTGAATTTTTAATTAGGAATGCCTCCCTAAATATTCAGGAAGGATTCATAATAATTTAGGAATGTCTTCATGACATTCAAAAAACAATAAAAAGGAACAATAAGCGAGTGATCTATATATTTTGTGACGATGATGAAACCAAAATTAAAATCTCTGACGATTTACTAATAAAATAATGTGACGATCCTGTTAAAGTGATAGTAAGAGAAGTGTATGGTGATTTATACAGATTGGAGAGAGACCCAAAGTTTTTTCAAGATAGAGCAATTCTCACCCTGATAAATGCAGACATGAGATTAATAAACAAATACATGTTATCGGAAATACAAGGTAAACATATTTAACGCTTTATAAATATAGATATATGATCTTACACTTGAGCTCCATATCATTATTTTAAGTTATACTTAGTGAACTTCTTTTAATATTTTTCTAGGTGAGGAACATACATAATTTAGCTCGGACAATATTGATACTTCTAATAAGGGCAAGATTGACGAAAAAGTCTACACCCAGGAATATCTGAATATTATTAAGATCTCAGGATTACTGAACCATGAAATTGAAAATAGGAACACTTATTATGTTGCTTCGAAATATTGACCCTAGTGGTGGTTTATGCAGTGGAACAAGACTCTTGGTAACACAATTGGCCAAACATGTTATTCAAGCTAGCCATAACTGGTGAGTATATTAGTCTAAAGGTCTTGATCCCACGAATGTTTGTTTCCCTCACTGAAACAAGGTTTTTTTTTTTAGAATGAGGCGTAGACTATTCTCTATAGCAATCGCCTGTGAAATGACTATCAGTTAAAACCAATGATAAACTTTGCAAAAGGTTGGAGTGTAGTTACCAAAACTCGTATTTTCCCATAGACAACTTTATGTGGCTATATCACGTGTTACTTCGAGAGCTACTTTGAAGATTCTAATAACGTATACTATGGGTAAGCCACAAACCAATAATTTGAATGTTGTATACAAAGTCGTCTTTCAGAATATAAGAAAACGATAGTTTATTTTATTTATTTTGGTTTAGATCTTTATTAATTAAATAGTTTGTTTTAATGACACTTTGGTTTACTTATGCTTCAGAATTGATACTCTTTCTCTTTTTCCATTAATTGTTGTTCTGATTGTCGAGAATCGATACTTTTATTAAACATAAAAGAAATCAGTACAAAACTATAATGGTGTTTGAAAAATACACACTGAAACAAACTGCAAGTTAAAGATCTGCGGTATTGGAATGTTGTACATCAGCAAATATTGATGCACATAACGATAATGGTCACAGTTGATAAAGTGATGAGTTTTTTCAAAAGTACTATTATCCAACTATCAAATTTATGGGTTTGTTAACAATACAGATCACAATACCATTGTCCAACTACTAAAACTTTTCGCCATTATAAAAAAAAAGAAATAAATGGTTCATGATAGTTAGTATAGTTAGAACAGGAAGATATGAAAACATATTATTTCAAAATATTAGATATAACTTTCAAACCTCCTACTTATCAATGATCGCATCTACAAATTTTGTAATCAGCTTTGTATACATCGCAAGTCCGCGTTTGGCGCAGATCCCCACCTAGTTAAAATAATAAAATATTTGTTTTATAAGAAAGTGATTTGTAATTTCCTACATATTCTGTTTGTAGTAAAGTTGTTCAAAATTTCTGACGAATTTCCTACCATTATCACAGTAAAAATTTCTCAACCGATTTCCTACTATTTTTTTATCAAATTTCCTACGGATATCTTTTTGGTTGAATATTGGTTAAAAAATTTTGACTGTTTTCCCACGATTTTAGTCATAGGAAATTTCCTACCAATTTTCTATAACTTTTATTTTTTATTATAAGCTCGTAGGAAAATATTAAAAAGAATTTCCAACTAAAATTTTCGTAAAAA